TTTCCTTTCCTTTCCTTTCCTTTCCTTTCCTTTCCTTTCCTTTCCTTCCCTTCCCTTCCCTTCCCTTCCCTTCCCTTCCCTTCCCTTCCCTTCCCTTCCCTTCTACCTTTGAGTCAGTCTTGACTCCTGGGAAGGAAGGACAGAAGGAAGGCCGGAAGAATGGAAGGAAGGGTTTCCTTGATTTTGTTATTTATAGTTATTCAGTGATCTAAACCCAAGCATTTGAAAGCATTCAAATTTCTGGGAACTAGTTAAGGATCATTGAAAGAAGCTGTACTAACAAGAATATAAATTAGTAATGTACTTCTCTGTTGCACTGCTCGCTTTCTTAATTTAAGGATTGCTCTGTGAGTTTGACTACACTTACCTGGGAATTGCCCACCATCTACATCTTCTTTCGCTTGTTCACTCCTCCTTTTCTCCCGAGATTCTTTCCAGCGCCTTTTCTCAATATTGGGGTTTCTCAAGCATTTTCTTATTCGGCATTTTTTACGCTGTACAGTTTCTGGGCACGGAGCTCCTCCAAACTGAGGTTCCATTTTGATCATTCTTGTCCTGATCATATGGCCTTTCCCACAAGACTTATTGCATTCAGACCACTGAGACCATTCTGTCAGATCACAGTCAATTGCTAGAGAAGCAAGGACGAAAAATAGGATGCTTAGCCTTAACTTACTTAGGTGGAACAATCTGGTTTAGCAGAAGAATAATTTACTTCTTTTCAATCTCACTATGGGAAAAAAATGAACATTTAGGTTGATGATGACAACGGAATGAATTTTATACAAGCTTATCCTGAAAATGCATTAGCAAGACTACCTTCTCGCTAAGCTCTGACAACAATACATTCACACTACCCTATTAGAAATTATCACCCACCAGGAATTAACTCTGGAGCAATTTTATAGGAAGGACATGGAGGGAAAAATTGCAGGAGATTGGAGAGGAGAAGGACTAGAGATGGGTGAGTGGGGGGCAAACCTTGAGTCCAATGATTGACGGATGGCGCTCTTTATAAAAATGACTGTGAAAATATGTGTGAAATACGTTCAATTATTCATCTGACTTTTGCAATCTGGAAGGGCACAAATCTAATCATTTTGCATTGCTACTTTAAAATGGATGTTTTTATCACGTTCCTGAATGTTTTCTATATAAACTTCATTGAAGGTAAGAAAGAATGTCTCTATAACAAAGTTATGTTAATATAGCATAACTCATTTTAGCAATGGCAAGGCCCTTTTGAACACTTTCTTAAAATAGAAGTCCCCCCCCCCGCCCCTTTTATATGTACTAACTCCCTGAGAAAATGTTAGGAATTTGTTTCTCGTGAACAAATGGTGCTTTACACTAACAAAGCAATGCATCATGCATGTCAACACTCGGCTATTGTATAGGAAGAGTAATGTACATAATACATTTCTGCTTGTCTGTTGTATGTAATAGAAGAAATAAAACCAACTGTAAAATTAATCTTCAGACTCTAGATATCTACTTACGACACTCTGGCAGCATGCATTTCTCTACTTGTTCTAGTTCTTCATTGCAATCTCCAAGCTCAGCAGCAGATTTGAGCATCCGTTGCCTGGTCCTCATCCCCTTTCCACAAGTGACACTACAGTCACTCCATTCAGACCAAGGAGAAAGCAGGCAGGGAATGGTATCTAAGGCAGATTGGGATGGGAAAGAGGATAAGATCATTCTATTTCAACAGCACATCTACAAGTGATGATCAATCTGGCAATCAAGTGATCCATCTACCCACTCATCAAGGGGTGGGGAGTCTAGGACAACTTGCTATGGACAACTAGATATGGACAACTTGCTGTGGCCAACTCACTGCTAGACAACTCACCGTGGCCAACTCGCCAATGGGACAACTCTTTGTGGGACATGAGCTACACTAATATTGAAGAAATGGCGGAATAAAATCATTAAAGAAAGGATACAAAAGAAGGCATAATGTGAAATGTGAATGGAAAAAATTAAAATAATTTTTGAATTATTTTAAATAATTACATTGAATTGTTGAATTGTTGAATTGTTATGCGGCGAATTGTCCCATGGTGAATTGGTTGTGGTGAGTTATCCTGTGGCAAGCTGGCTGTGGTGAGTTGGCCATGGAAAAATGACCATGGCAAGTAGGCAGCAGCAAGTTGGCCACTGCAAATTGGCCACAGCAACTTCTCCCATTCTGCATCAAGGGAAAGGATAGCTATTTGATAATGACTAAAATAAAACTGGATTGAAATGTGTACTGGTCTTCCAGCATCTAATAAGTCCAGTCTGTATTTTGCTGCAGATTGCTGGCACATCTTCTTTAATAACAAAGTGAGACTACCATTCCTCATTTCCAGCATTCATAATTTATTCCTAAAAGAGGCCTATCTAAGATATTCTTGTTGCAAATCACTCTATCTCATACAATGCTGGATATCTCTGATTAGATTTCCTGAAGTATTCTCTTGGGTTGGATCAGTGGTAAAGGGTTGACATTAATAAAGCCTTTTCCCTGGTTTAAATGGCCCCATAGGTATTGTTAATTGCTGTTTGGAGTGTGGTGATAATATTTGTCATCCAAGAAAGATTAGACATAAAAACTTTTACACACTTGTAATAATCTTTCTCATCTTGTTAATAGAAATGTCACCTCCCACTGAAATCAGTCCTGGAGATTATTCCCCCCCCCCCACATCAAATATGTATACTTATAAATGCATATGAATAAGCATATACACATATATTAAAAGGCATACTCCAATGCGTGTGTGTGTGTGTGTAATTAATGTCTACTGAACAAAATTAATTGCCTGTAGAATAAGAGACTCTGTGTCTAAAATTAATTGATGTCCTACCAGGATATACGCAGAGACCATTCTGTCTCTTACAAATTACTTTCTTGCACATATTACCCATTCAACCAGAGAAAAAAAACTGCAGAAAACCGAGCATAACAAGTGTAAATCTATGCTTCTTCTGTAATAAGTCCTATTGAATTCAATGGCTCTTGTTTCTAATTAAATATGCAGACTACTGATAAGCTGGGCACAGAACTTTTCAGTCCCGGTTATTCCTTGTAAATGATGATGGAAGATAGGAAACAGATTCTTGAAGGATTGAGATTTAGTTTTCAATAAGGAAATGATGAATGTGAAATCTTTGTGCTGGGCTGCAAGCTTAAGGAAACCCACAGGTGTTCGTTCTGTAGCAAGTCCCACTGCACTGAATGTGTGTCTTCTTATTCAGCTTAATTAGAATGTTCAGCCCAATCCTCCTTCCACCTGCAAATTATGAAGGAGCATTTTTCTCCTTCAATTGTAATTGGCTATAGTAGGAACCTTTTCCATCTAACTGCTGCACCATTTTCCTGAAACCTCATCCATATGGAAAGCCTTCATGGGTAAAAGAAACTCTCTAGTGCATACATTGTGGATAATGAGAGGCAGGCAGGGAATCTCACCCTTTGTCCTTGAAGCGATGGCAGTGGCTTGATGTCTTTGAAAATTCTTAGTCATCCGGGTCATGGTTGTCCCAAAGGTATTTTTTCAAGAGGCAACTGGACTTTCTGGTTTTTCTCTTAAGACATTTTGCTTCTCCACCAAGAAGCTTCTTCAGCTCTGACTGGTTGGTGGGGAATGGACAGATTTATACTCCTTGCAGACAGCTGGTCTGCATTCTTTGAATGAGCTGTGAAAGCCATCTGGAGATTTATCTGTGTCATGAGGGTCACCTGAGTGGTGCAAATGGGTGTAGAGCCTTTTTGGAACTGTTGAAAGGATTGTGTTGTAGACTGAAGATATAGGATGTTGTATCTCTCCCCCTCTGTTGAGACAGGGCTGTTCAATGTTGACATAGAGGCCTAGGTATAATGACTCATTAAAAGAATGCACATGACCAGCTGTCTGCAAGGAGTATAAATCCTTCCATTCCCCACCAACCAGTCAGAGCTGAAGAAGCTTCTTGGTGGAGAAGCAAAATGTCTTAAGAGAAAAACCAGAAAGTCCAGTTGCCTCTTGAAAAAAGCACCTTTGGGACATGGCCAAGGATTGTTCTCTAATCCAGCTGTTTGCTTTCATAATTTCACTTTATGCACAGACTCCTGCTTTCACAACGGCATCTTCCTCCACCACCAAATTTACAGTGAATATAAGCTTTGGCTCCAGATTGCAGGCAATTAATTAGTCATTCTTGAGCCCCATCAGGATTGAACTCTGGAGGTGCAATATTGCAGGCAAACTCTGCCCACAGCCTAGAGTTTAATCCTGACAGGGCTCAAGATTGACTCAGCTTTCCATCCTTCTGAGATAGGTAAAATGAGGACCCAGATTGTTGGGGACAATATACTGATGTTGTAAACCAGGGGTCAACAACCACCGGTCCCCGGACTGGTACCGGTCTGTGGAACAATATCTATTGGGCCGCCGGTTTGCTGGGTGCCACCATCTTGTTTTGATGAAAAAGTGCTTCCGGTGAACTTTTCCAGGTAGAAAGCGGCGTTTGGGTGCTGAAAGAATCCTCGTACCATAGTTTCATTGAGGGGGAGGCTCGCGGCTTCGAACAAAACTAAGGTGCGAGGATTCTTTCAGCATGCATGGCAAGGTGAGCCGAATGGCCATCGTGAAGCCCATCGACACAGATACAAAGGAGGAGTTGAAGGTGGCGGGGAGAAGCGGGGGATGGCCGGCTGGCTGGCCGGTCGCTCGGCTTGCCTTGCCATGTGTGCTGATGCCGGTACCGGGCCGCAGATGATTTTGTGATGCCGGTACCGGGCCGCGGATGATTTTGTGATGCCAGTACCAGGCCGCGGCACAAAAAAGGGTGGGGCCCACTGTTGTAAACCACCCACAGAGTGCTGCAAAGTGCTATGGGGTGGCATTTAAGCCCAAATGCTATTGCTATTGCTAAAATTTTCTCATCTTCCCTTCAGGTAACATTTCCTTCCTTTTTGTGACTAAATAAACACTTTTGGAGAAAAGGTTTGTACTGAAGGACTTCTTGGAATATATAAATTAATCTCCCTTCTTCAGCATGATGATCTTGATGGAGTTCATGGCCCTGATGATTGTTTTTAAGAAGAGAAAATGATGGTGAGAGAATTGGCATTTACCTCTGACATTATATTTTCCCCCCTCAACAGCCTATTATATTTACAAGAATAATGTAAAAAAATGTTACGTTATGATTTACTCTGCTAAGAAAAGCAAATCAGGTTGCAATCATTTTGTGAGTATGTATATGTGGGAGCATATATGTATGGTGTAGAGAATGTGTGTACAATGTGTACAAAAAGCAGCATATTTAAATAAAACTGGAAAAAAAAAACACCAGGAAAGCACATCTCACTTCTTGTTGTCTTAAAAACTACAGGGCTTATGATTTGCTAGAATGTCCTGACTTCAAATATTTAGACTAATTGCTCCCTTGTATCTTGTGGTCAGTATAATTGTACACTTTTATATACTTTTGGTTTGAAAACTTTTAGAAATCTGCATTGTGAAGAAACCTATTAGAAAGTATACAAATGATGAACCATGTTACTTGTTGCATGTGTCCTTTGCACATAGCATTGTTCTTTTTTTACCTAAATACACAACGTGTACACAAGGCAGTTAACATACCCACTTTTTACATAGATGCTCGGTTGACCAGAGTTACTTACGGCATTCCGGATTCATGCATTTCTCAGCTTCTGTGGTTTCTGCTTTGCACATGGATCCATCTGCCGGGGTCATCTTGATCATTCTGTGTCTCTTCTTCATTCCCATCCCACAGCTGGCACTGCATTCATCCCACTCTCCCCATTCAGTTACCAGGCAACTGCTAGGAGCTGTCCATAATACATTAGCCAAAGATCAGTCTGGTGGCACTTATTTAACAGAGGATTCACATTTTGCTTTTTAGGCTGATTAAGTGTGGCAGGGTACATCAAATACTTACAACATTCTTCATTTACAATGCATTTCTCCGTCTCTTCTGTAGGCACTTTGCACATGGAGCCATCCTCTGGGAACTGCTTCACATAACGCTCTCTCGATCGCATTCCCATGCCACAAGATACACTACAAGGGGACCACGTTATCCACTCAGACATCATGCATGTAGAGCCATCTAAAAAAAGAAGTAATAGATAGTTTCCATTTATTCCCAAACCTCACTCACATTTGATCAACAAAATGTTGACTCTCATGTCCAGGGTCTTCTCACTTACCTTCATCGCTACAGCCTGGGCCCATACAAGGCTGGAAGTCCTGAGTTTCTGGACAAGGAACACTGAGGTCAAGCTGAGCTTTGAGCATTCTCTGCCTCATCCGCTTGCCCTTTTCACATGTTGAAGAGCTACAGGCTGACCAGGGAGACCAATTCGAATAGATGCAGGTTTCAGGAGTATCATCTGAAAACAATGACATATTCAGTATTTATGTGTGAATGCATATATGTGTGGTGTAAAGAGCATATATCTGTATATGGTATGTACAGATATACTGTCTACAATGTATTGACTGTGCTTAAACCCAATTAGAGTAATCCTCCAAAACAATTAAACGTAGTTTTTTTAAAAAAAGTTTACTTCTCTACTCAGTATAATTTAATGGACACGCTAGGTACTGTACCGAAGACTTTCTGCCTGCAGAAGAGGTATTCTACCTAGCAGCCCAACTATCTATCTCTATCTTTGCCTTTGCCTAGAGCAAGTCCCCCTTTCTATGACCTCCAGTTGACTGCTATGTGCATAAATATACTTCTAACAAACTAAAGTTTGAAAGAAAGATTGGAATAGAAAATGAAAAAGATGTTAGGGATGGTGCCTACAGAGGGGGAGATGGGGTGATGGACTATAGGGAAGCAGCAGTTTCCCAGAAAGAAGGGAGCACATTCCAAGAAGAGGGGATGGGGGCAAGACAATAGGCCGTCCAGTCCAGAGCTGAATAGGCGACAGAGGAAGAGAGGATAGCCACTCCCTCGAATTTCTCAGGGCATATGTGTTGGGTTGAAAGCAGTAAAAGTTCAATTTGTCAAGATTCTATCAATTGAGGGTAGAGGTTCATTCTCCAATGTCGTGTGGTTAATAGGTTTTATGATGGCAGGATGACATCAGGTGAGGGTCTTATGTTGGATCCTGTGATGGGTCAGGTGTGGGTCACCTAAAGTTAGGGCCATGTATGGGTCTTGGATGGGTCAAGTGTGGGTTACATTAGGTGAGGGTCTTGTGATGGGGAGTCATGTCAGATGGGATTCATTGGGGAGGTGAAATGCTGGTTGGGAGGGTTGTCTCACCTGATGCTGGGGAGGGGGTGACCCTCATCTGATGTGACCTCCCCATCACAAAACCTACTGACCACTCAAAGCCCTTATAAGCAGAAGAACACTGACACTGAGAGCCCCAAAACTCTGCTGAAGATGTTACCTAGCCTGGTAATGAAACATTTGGAAACCAACCCAGAAGCTCAGAGAATGAACTTCCATCCCCATCCTATACCCGAGCTGCAGGTATTTGCTCCCATTGCATTCAATCTATTGTGTGTAAGCATATAAAGAACTAAACTTTGGTTGGGTTGTTCAGTATCATTCTTGGGCTAAGCCCAATAATAAGTAAGAAAGAGGAGCAGTTAGATAAGGAAAATAGTGTAGCTTGATGAAGATCAACCCAGTACAAGATAATAAAGTACATGAGATTAGTCTTCTGCTAAATTAGAAAATGCCAAAATTTCTGCCGGCTGACACTATCACTGCAGGTGTTTATTAAGTAATGATGCAGACTCCAACCACAAATGGCTAAGCAAATTGTTTTATTTCCCCCTCCTGTTTTTAATACCATCCTAATAATAAGTCAAACAGCATGAAATACAGAGGAGCAGCCCTGGAGAGTGAAGGCAAACACAAACTCCTAAAGGTAGGAGGACATAATTAAAAAGTACCGTCGTCTTCTGGAGCTTCTGCAGCAAGATCTGCAACAATGTCATCGATGCTATCAGGAACAATATTGCACTGTTCCCCCTGCAAAGAAACATTTGCAAATGGGATTGAATTGGCGGAGGAAATAATAGGATACTGAGCACTGGGCTGGAAAATCAATTGCCAGAAGTTATTCCAACAGCATCTGCAAGTGTTCAGGCTTATAAAGATTGCAGTAGTCATCAGGGCCAAAACTCAGATCCTAAAGGAAGTCCCATGAAGATATTGTGTTTCTGGTTGGCAGGGAAAGCCATGTTCCCTTATCAAACATGCTAAGAGGCAAACATCACTTTTCTGAGAAAAAAAAGTCCTGGGAGGACTGGGGAGATGGGGAGCAGATAATGTCCCACCTAAAAGCTGAATGTTGCTAGAAAGCAATGTTAAATGAGCTTGGGGCCCCACTTATTGTCTACAATGTCCAGGGAGCCCTAAAGCTCCCCATATACCTAATGAAGGAATATGCTGCAGATTTCTGCCGCAAGATAGATCTGTCTGTGACACATAGCATCATTGTATTATTAACTTGCTACAAAATCTTCTTACTAAGTAATGAGCTTCACAAGCTTTTTTTTTTTGAGTGCTATGCCACAGAATCTTTTTCAAGCTCAGAGCTTTTGATGAAGTACAACCAGGAGAGGAACTAAATTTAATTTAATTTCACCTACCCTTAAATTTAATTCAAATGAAATAAAATTAATTTGATCAGTCTTGCTTTTCAGAAGTTCACCTTTGCTATCTTGGTGGATTTCAATGTGGTAACAACTCCTGCAGCTCCGTGGAACTCTCCTCTTGTGCTTCTTTGGGCCTTAAATCCTTGATGGTGCTTCTTTGCATTCGTTGCAGTTCGAGTGGAAAGGAGAGGAATTCACTCTAAGGTGAACCTTGGCAACTTTATGACTTGTGGACTTCAACATCCAGAATTCCTCAGCCAATACTAAGGAAGCATTCAACTGAGGAATCCTGCCAGTTGAAGTCCACGAGTCATAAAGTTGCCAAAGTTGGACACCCCTGTTCTAAGGAATGAGGTCCCTCATATCTCCACTGACCCAGCACCCACAGCGAATTAGCCCCACTCCCTTTATGAAAACCTGTTGAACTACTTACTGCCAGATTTCAGGTTTCTTGTTATTTAATCCCAGTCTACGCTCAAATATTCCATTTCAATTACTTTCATACTAATACCTTTCGTGCAATCCTCTCAATGACAACTCTGGCTACTGATTTAATGGAACCTCCTTCAGGATCATAAAAAGGACTTTGTGGGTGGTCCAGACTTGTGAGCGGTCTTATCTTCTCCTGAGGTACAGTTGGCTTGTTGGAAGACTGCAGTCAAAAAAGAAACATGGGTAGAGATAGAAGAGACACAACAATGAAAAATGTAGTTGATAAAAAGTGTGCAGGTAAACTTTCATTAACATCATTTGTTACACACATACACACACAGGGAGAGAGAAGGAGAGAGAGAGAGAAAGAGAGGGAGAGAGAGGGGGTGAGAGAGAGAGAGAGAAAAAAATTGAGAGAGAGAAATTGAGAGGAGTTGGCAAATGGAAAAATAGTATAACTTAAATATGCACAGTTAACTTAATGCCCAATATTTCAAGGAGTTTGGATGTAACCTAATGTACAGTATATTACACTGTCATAATTAGTGGAATTACACTGATTAATACATTGACATTAACTTGCTACAAAGAGAAAGCCAAGAAAAGGGAAGATAGATTTCCATACTCTCTTATTTTTGATGGGTCAATCCCATGATTTAATTTCTACAGTCAGAGATTGTGAGAATTTTTCAGCTCAGGAAATGGCTGCTGTGATGAGTTTCTCCCTCAACCACTGCATCCCACTGGCACTGCTATATCCATGTATCCGTGCAGACATCCATTGAAGACAGTTTGTAATCACTGCCAACTAACAGAGCTTAGAATCTCATAACAAGGTTCTCCAAGAAATTCAGGTGGCATTAGCAATGAAGTTAAATATCTTCAGAGACGATTTTGGGAAGGAGAAACCTGGAAAGAAAAATAATGACTGGCAGCTAAGATGGCTGAAATACACAGCAACTGGCTTTGAATCTGATGCCAGTAAAACCCAATATTGATAAACTTGATTTGGATTAGTTTGTGGACAAGTGGAATATTACCAAGAAGAAATGTTTTGGCACTAGCTGTGGTAAAATGTGCTATAGGACCTTTTTATTTACAGCAGAAAGCTCGCAGTGACCTTGAAAATGACACAATTAAATAAGTTCATAAGATCAAAATTATTAAGATCAAAGTCTCCCCCCCCCAAAAAAAAGCTGGCAAACAATAAGCCTGCCAATTGGATAAATGTAGAAATGCTGGCCAGTATAACTAACGTTCCCCCCCCCCCCCAGAGATCAGTGTATATACAGTTTTTCCCCTTCCATTCAATTGTGTCTGATTCTGAGAAATTGCTTGGACAAGTTCCTGCAGTTTTCTTGGCAAGGTTTTTCAGAAGTGATTTGCCATTGTCTCCTTCCTAGGGCTGAGAGAAAGTGACTGACCTGAGATCCCAGCTAGCTTTGTATTTTAGAGGGGACAAAATCTCACAGTCTTACTGTATATCATAATACCCATATATTTACAGGTGTAGAATTGATTGAATCTGAAAGCTAGACTTTGGAGGGAAAAACATTTTTGTTTTTTGAAACAATACTTGAAGAGATAAGGTGGTTGTAATAGCAATAGCACGTAGACTTATATACCACCTTACAGTGCTTTACAGCCCTCTCTAAATGGTTTACAGAGTCAGCACATTGTCCCCAACAATCTGGGTCCTCGTTTTACTGACCTCAGAAGGATGGAAGGCTGAGTCAACTTTGAGCCTGGTGAGATTTGAACTGCCAAATTGCAAGCAGCTGACAGTCAGCAGAAGTAATTGTACTACTAACTAGAGCATACAAAACATTTGCTAGACCAATTCTCTAATACAGCTCATCTGTCTGGAACCCACATTGATATTGGACATTAATACAATCAAGAGAGTCCAGAGGTATTTCATGAGAAGAGTTCTCCACTCCTCTACTTGCAACAGAATACCTTATGCCACCAGACTTGAAATTTTAGGCTTAGACAACTTAGAATATGCTGCTTTCGGTCTGACCTAAGCATAGTATATAAAATTATCTATTGAAATGTCCTACCCTTCAATGACTCCTTCAGCTTCAGCCAACAATACATGAGCACACAATAAATACAAATTCAAGGTAAACCACACCAAACTTGATTGCAGGAAATTCAACTTCAGCAACAGAGTGGTCAATGTCTGGAATACAAACCCCAAAGACTGTCTACTGTTGACCTCACCCCATTCCTAAGAGGTCTGTGTAAGGGGCGCGCATAAGCACACCAATGTGCCTCTCATCCCTGTCCCAATGTTCCTTTTTATTCATATCCATTTTATGTATTCATAATCATGTTTATACTTATATCTGTTATCTAGTACATGCTTGACAAATAAATGAATAAATAAATAAATAATAAAATTTTTAAAAAAGTAGTTTGTAGTACTTCACTCTTAACCACTGTGCCACCGTGGCTCATGGTAGTAGTTTGGATTTATCAGTTTTGATGGGTGACAAATTTAGAGCGGCCCAAAGCCAAAATAGTAAATCTGCTTGACCTTTCTGATAAAGCATGACTGAAATTGCTTCATACTGTCTTTTAAGTGAATAAAAGAATTTTTAAAAACAGTTCTTTATTTACCCTATCTAGGAGGTAATAAAACGCAAACACATCATATTACAGAAAACCAACCAACCAACTAGCAAACAAAAGCCCCAATAAAAATGTAATAGCAGTTATGTCTGATCAACAAGAAAAAAAGACTCTTCATATAATGGAAGCTATTGGAATTTGCTTAATGGGTCTTACTTTAGAATCACAACGAATTAAAATGAAAACAATCAAATTCTCTAAAGCTATTGCATTTTTTTCTTCCATTGTGGGCAAAAACTGCATACATAAGCTCTGAATATATGAATATGTCCCTTTCAAAAAACAATTCCCTACCTATATAGCATGGAGAAAAGTACACAGGTATATTCAAAATTTCATTTACTGTACTGATTTCCCATTAATTGCTCTCATACTTATACAGGAAAATAAATATTCGTACAAAAACTGAATATCACAAAAGTCTTTGTACTGAAACCATAGCTTCTATCTCTGATTTTTGTATTCATAAACAGTTTCCAACTTAGTTAATGATTGAATGACTGACAGACCAAAAAAAAAAAAGTTCTCATGCCGTGTGTATTTATTACCATTTTGCTTGTTCTAGCTTTCAGTTTAAAAATAAAGTTTATATGGAATGGCAATGGCTTTCATTTGCCAAGCCAACTGCAGCTTCTTCTCTCGGGTTTTTGTTTTCCTTCATAGATATAAAGAGCAAGAAAGCTTGCTATGAACGATGGGCAATTTTCAATGTGCTACTGCTCTTGTCTTAAACAGAAAACCTGCACAAGTAGTTACTATATGTCTTATCTTTGTTACAGGAATTCCTGATACGCACATAGTACTCCATCCTCCTATATTTCTTCACAAGTGTCCTGTATGGACGATTGGGCTGAAAGTCACTGAGGGAGCTGCTGTGGCTATAGATGGAATGGAAACTGGCTCACTCCGGTGCTAGTCAAATACTTTATCCACTGTGCCTTACTCTTTGCCCATTCTGTTTCAATTTTCACTTGTCAAGTGGTCTTATTAAAAAAAGTGTTTCTTCAGTATATCTTATATCAATTATCTCCCTCCCACACTCATGCCATTAAGGCAGCAAACAGATGCTGTGGAGGTGCCACCTGCAATTTCTCCCTATGGCTAAATGAATGACTAGTATGTTGGTTTGTTGAAGTATAGGAACTTTACTTTCGAGTCCAGATCATTTGGCTTTGGAGAAGCTGACTGCCACTGGCTTTTGTATTGTCAGAATTTAATTTCAGCTTTATATCTGTGATGTAGTGATGAGAGGGATTCAGAGGTGATATTTAGCAGTTTCTGACAAGTTCTGGAGAACCAGTAGTGGAAATTTAAGTAGTTTGTAGAACTGGCAAATACCACCTCTGACTGGCCCCGACCCCATCTATTCTCTGCCTCCAGAGTCCCAGCTGATTGGCTGGGTCTTCCTTTGTTGCCCTGCACAGGAGAATGGAGCTGGAAAGCAGGTTAGTGGGGTGAGGAGGGAATGGAGATTTTATAGTATCCTTCCTCTGCCACTCCCACTAAGCCACAACCACCAAGCCATGCCCACAGAACCGGTAGTAAAAACATTTGAATCCCACCACTGGGTGGATTCACAGGAGGTAATGGTTGCATTCCAGAGGAGTAAAGGGGCAATTCAGCCCAGCATTACTGTGTGAGAGACAGAGAGTAAAGACAGCCCCTCCCTAATAGTTCACAGAGTATATTGTAGATGAAGACAGTAGAGTCTTCACTCTGGCAAGCCTTTGTCTACAGGTATGAAACAACAAAGAACATCTTGGAATAACTATCATGTGTTATTCTTGGTTTTGGGCCTGACATAGCTGAATATTTAAAGGTCTTCAGTGATTGGTAGTGTTTTTATTTATTTCTTCAATTATTTAAAAAGGTAGTTATTGCAAATGCTTATTTAACTTATAAGCCTCTTTAAGGCAGATCAATTCTGTTAGTTCACAGAAGACTGCCAAATGCTAATAAATCATTAAAAAAACCTTAAGAAATAGAATCAGCATAGTTTTAGTTCTACGGATGCCCTGCTGCAAAGAAACTTATCTCAGAGGATCAGGCCAGGAAACACAGTCATAGTATGTTTCTTTTAGTGGAAGTTGTCAATACAAGAAAATACTTTTCCCTCTGATCAAAAAGCTTCAGAAGCCACCACACTTGTATAGTGTATGGTATGGTATGGGAAGGAAAGGCAGGAAAAGGCTTCTGTTTGTTAATTTTTAAATGAGTTTCTGAATTTATTCATCCTCATTATTTTTGACCAAGACACTGTTTTCAAAGCTTAACAACACGTTATTTTAGTTAACAAGAAGTCTTAATCTCAGTTTCCACTGACACTTATTACCAACTGAGAGAGGAAGTAAATAATACATTATAGAACCTTAAATCGAGAACTGTTGCCTAAAGTAAGAAGTGACTTGATACGACATAAAAAAAAATGAAATGGTGAGAGTGGGAAAAATCCCTCAAATAATAATCAGGAGAAAGGCAATAAAGCACTTGAAAACAATAATTTTGCTAAATAGCAGAAAATGATGGTCGCCAGGAAGTTAGATAAGGTCACACAGAGCAATACAATGACAGAACAGTAAGATATCAACCTTCCTGTTGTGAACCACAGAAATCTCTGCATTGTTCCAAAGAAACTTTGAGTACAAAATGGCATATGGCACTGGTTATCTCAGCTTGAATGTTCATAAATTGGAAAAAAAAATATTTTCAGTCTATGCTCATCAGATGGCCTTCTGAGTGGCTTGCTTTTGCCAACTGAACATTAGAATCATATTTGTTTGAACATATTCTTCAATGCTGTAGCAGATGAAAATAGTTCCTAATTTGGCTAGTTAAGAAAGATAAAGAGGGAAGTAATTATTTTATCATGAGTGGGACCCTACAAATGTTGTACATATAAAATTTCCCATTCATATCTGAAATATTTGGTGGGGGAAGAGTATTTTTGTTTTTAAAACTATGTTTTTAAAAATTGATTGTTGTGAACTGCCAAGAATCACTGCATGACATTATGCCAGCGATTTTTCTCTCTTCCTCCCTCCGTTTGTTTTTTTCCTTCTGAAAACCACTGCTTCCTCTGTCTGGACAAAACAATGGGGGATGAACTCCAGATATCCTAGCTTGATTTGTTTTGCTACAATACAGATAACTTTTTGTTTTCTGAAATTCTCCTAAACAAGCCCAAAGGAGAAGGTATAGTCTTCAGAGTTCAGTTCAGCAAAGCATAACTCAATTTGCAGCAGTTTCAAATAAATTTGGTCAACACATATACTGTATTGCTTGAATCAACTATATTTTCAATTTCATTTGCCAAACATATCTTTATAAACAAATCACTCTGTACTGTATATAAGTCATGATTTTATAAATAAAATCAAGTCCTTTTATAGTTCAACAAATAGATCTGTATCTAAAATACACATTCAACTCTCCCAACGTGTTTGCTTTTTTACATTCTATATAAAAAGGAATTTTATATTTTTATTCCTAGAAATATATATAGTGACATCAAGGCATTCTAGATGTTAGAAAGTTATTGCCTATTGATATGTACTCAGCAGATTTTCTGATTTCCCAAAATTCACTGCAATGTGAAGTTGGGCCAAAGATGACCTTATTTCTAAAATAAATTCCCACAAATCTGTTGGGGTCCTCCTGATTGTGCCTCTTTATTTATAGAAAGTTATTAGTTCCATGGGAGCAAATGAAGCCTTTTTTTCTCTAAAGATTTAAAAAATGGGAGAATATGCTCAATTAAAAGAACATAGTGAGAAGAAATCAGTTCAGAATTGAGATCCAGGTTTTTCCTTTTCCACACAAGAGCAATCCAAAGTTTACCTGCAACTTATTGATCTTTTTCATTCACAAAAACAGCTATACATGAGCTGCTCAGGAGATATTACTTTGGTTGTGTAATATTAAGATACTGCTTTTATTAAAAGGGTTGCATTTTCTTTCCCATCACAAATCCTGTAATGAGTAATAATGGCAATTTTGAGGAGCAGAAGGAAGAGTTGCAGCCAAGACAACAGTCAGACAAAAAAAAAATGAGTCCAAGGCAGAAATGTAATTTGAAAATGTGTCTTAGCCTTGACCTTCCCTAGTATTTATGAGAATAAAGGAAGGAAGGGACTTGCAATATTGATGTCTGCCTCCCCAAGGTAGAGCAGACTAGAAAACCAAAGTGAATAATGTTAAGGTTACTTTAATTATAAAGTTATATCAATCAAATCTTGCAAGTCTGAATATGCTTCCCTCTCTTCCTTTGTCCTCCAGCATATTCAGCACAAATAGAAACAGGATAATTTTTGGAGGATACACACATTGCCAAAAGGATGGACACTGAGGTGGGGGACTTCCCAGGTAGGCATTATGTCTTCTTATTGTAAGTATGTATCACTTACACCTGTTGCGGTTGTCAACCTGTTTCCTTGATGTCATGATGAAAATACTAGAAGCCAAACCTTTTTTTTTTTTTTAAGTCTCATCTGGGAAGGTCAGGGTATGCTGGTGTTGAGTGGGCTCTAAAGCTAGTAAGAAATGTTTAGAAGACTCTTAAGGGCAGCAGAATGATTTTGGATCCTATATCTAGTTCTGGGCACAACTCAGAAATCAGACAAGAAAAAGCTTGAGTGGGTTCAGAGAAAAGGCACCAAGATGACATACAAATTGGAGGCTAAGCCCTATGAGGAAGGATTAAAAGAGAAGGCAGAGATACGGTAACTATATACTGTATATATTAAAAAGGCTGACCTGTTTATGTTGAAACTAAGAATCAAATTAGGAGAAAGAAAATTCCAACTGAATATTAAGAGGAATTTCTTCAAGGTAACGAACTGTTATTTAGTGGGAAAGTCTTTAGAACTGTGGTAGGATCACTTTCCCTGGAAATCTTCAAACAAGGATTGGAGGCCCATTATTTAGATATAGTTTCTTGATTCATGCATGGGCAAACACTCCTATTCCAAGTACATGATATGAAGTCTGAAATACATATATAGAGGTTCAAAGTCTATGGAGATTCTCAGTCATCCAGGTCATAGTTGTCCCACAGATGCTTTTTCAGGAGGCAAATGGACTTTCTTATCTTTTTTTATTTGAAGATGTTTACCTCTCACCCAAGAAGATTCTTTAGCTCTGACTGGATGGTGGGGAATGGAAGATTTATATTTCTTGCAGATAGCTGATCACTTGCATTCTTTTAGAGAGTCACTGAGGCCACATGAAGGTTTGTCTGACTTCAAGAGGTTCAAAGGAAACATTTTAGGGCCACAAGAGGAGAGACAGAACAACAGTAGAGACAAGTGGAAAAAAGTTGCAAATAATAGATGTTATTGTAAAAGACTACCACTAAATTTGTACCAAGGTTTTAGCCTTAGTAAGCAGTTGGGTTATACTATTATATCCTTTATGCAGTGATGACTTAGTCTAAAAGCTTTATTGAAGCTTAGACTTAAAGGAACATTCACAATGAAAAAGTTTAAAACTGAAGGAGCAGAGTGGGTAAGAAAGAAGAGGGCAGTTGTCGCCCCATCCCTCCTACTGAATTTGCAGCCTCATTAAGTGGGATAAATGCATATTTTCAACTTGATGAAATTCAAGACAGGTTTAATAATAATAATAATAATAATAATAATAATAATAATAATAATAATA